AGCAACATCTACTCAGCACGTAAAGCGCAAGCGCCACAAACTCAACTGATTACACACGGCCGGCAGCGAATTAGGCATTAATTCCCTGCCCAAAGCGAAACTATTGATTGCGAACTCATCAACGCTGTGCCATTTCGGCGCTGTGCCGGCTGAGAGTCGGCATCTGTGCAGTGCAAACACGACGCGACGGCGTCAGCAAACAGTGCGAGCGCTGCGTGCCAGCGCTCAACTACCAGCCAGCCACGCTCTCAGAATTCAAGCCGGCTCCATCAGCGGCGACCGCAAAACAACGCCACTATAGTGGGGCGGCGGGGCCTAATGGTCGTTTGGAGGGGGCGAACGGCCGGGTTGGCAGGTGCCGCACGTGGGAGGGGGGCAACGGGGGTGGAGGTGGGCCCTACGGCTGGTTGTGGCAGAACGCGGTGTTGGAGTTGCCGTAATGTGGCCGGTTGGAGTGCCGTACGGTGAATTTGGGCCGCGGCGTGGGGGCTACAGTGGGTTGAAGGTGCCGTACGGTGTTGGGAGGGGGGGGGAAGAACGGCGGGTGGAGTGCCGTACGGTGGTTGGGGGGGGGAACGGGGGTTGGAGCGTGCTCGTACGCGGTGTTTGGGCGGACGAGAACGGGGAGTTGAGGTGCCGTACGGTCATTGGGGGGGGTGGGCGTACGTGGTTGCGGGGCATACGGTGGTTGGGCGTGGTTTACTGTGGTTGGGTGGTGTACTGTGGTGGGGTGCAGTACGCGTGGTTGGGGGGGGGGGGGGCAAAACGGGAGGTTGGAGTGCCGCTAAATTGTGGTTGGGGGGCGCGTGGCGCGGGCAAACGGGGCGTTGGAGTGCCGTAATTGTGGTTGGGGGGGGGGGGAAAACGATGGCGTTGGAGTACCTTAATGTGGGTGAGTGCCGTAATTGTGGTTCTGGAGCTGCCGTACGATGGTTGGGGCGGGGGGTAACGGTGGGATTGCGTGCGGCGCACGGCGTTACCGGTGGTTAGCGTGCCTTTAACAGGTGGTTGAGGGAGGTGGTACGTGGTTGGGGGGGGCCGTACGGTTGGTTGGGCGCGGTACGTTGGTCTCGGGGGGGGGTACGGTGTTCGGGGGGTGCGTACGCTTGGTTGTGGGCGGGCGTACGGGTGGTGAGTGCGGCGGCGTACGGTGGTTGAGGGGGCGTCACGGTGGTTGGGGGCGTACGGTGGTTGGGGTGTACGTTGGTTGGAGAGGGCGTACGTGTGTTGGGGCGTCAGTGGTTGGGGCGCGTACGGTGCGTTGGGGGCGTACGGTGGTTTGGGGGCGTACAGTGTTGGGGGAGGCGTACGCGTCGGTTGGGGGGGCGTACAGTGGTGGCGTGGCCGTACAGTGGTTGGGGGGCGTACGAGTGTGTTGGGGGTCGCTACGGTGGTTTGGGGGGCGTTACAGCTGTGTTGGCGCGTACGGTGCGTTGCGGGGCGTACGGAGGTTTGGGCGGCGTACAGTGGTTGGGGGGGGCGTACGGTGGTTGGGGGGGCGTTACAGTGGTTGGGGGGGCGCTACGGTCGGTTGGGGGGGGGCGTACGAGGTGGTTGGGGGCGCGTACTGTGTTGGGGGCTATGCCGTGGTTGGGGGGTCGTACTGTGCGTTGGGGGCGTACGTGGTTGGGGGCGTATGCGTGGTTGGGGTCTGCCGTACGGTGGTTGGGGGGCGTACTGTGAGTGTGGGGCAGCGTACGGTTAGTAGCTTGGGGGGGTGGCGTACGGTGGTTGGGGGGCGTACGGTGGTTGGGGGGGCGTAACTGTGGTTGGGGGCGTACGGTAGTTGGGGGGGGCGTACGGTTGGTTGGGGGGCGTACGGTGGTTGGGGAGGGACGTACTGTGCGTTGCGGGCGGTTACTGCGTGCGTTAGGGGACGTATGTGGTTGGGTTGTACTTGTGGTTGGGTGCGTACGGTGGTTGGGGGGTACTCGTGGATTGCGGGGGGTACGATGGTGGGGGCGTCTACGGTGGTTGGGGGGCGACCCGGTGGTTGAGGGTGGGCGTACGGTTGACGTTGGTGGGGTGGGCGGGGGGGCGGTACGATGTTGGGCGTACGGTGAGTTGGGGGGGGGCGTATCGTGTGGTTGGCGGGGCGGCGTACGGTGGTTGCGGTGGGCGTACGCGTGTTGGGGTGCGTAGGTGGTTGGGTGTGGTGTACTGTGGTTGGGGAGGCGTATGGTTGCGTTGGGGTGGCGTACGGTGGTTGGGCGGCGTCGTACTGCTGGTTGCGGTGCGTACGGTTAGTTGGGGGGGGGGCGTACGGTGGTTGGGGGGCGTACGGTGGTTTGGCGTACTGTGGTTGGCGCGGGCGTACGGTAGTTGGGGGCGGGGGCGTACGGTTGTTGGGGGGCGCTATACGGTGGTTGGGGGACGTACTGTGGTTGGCGGGGCCGTACGGTGGTTAGGGGACTACTGTGGGTTGGGGGCGTTACTGTGGTTGGGAGTGCGTACGGTGTTGGGGGGGGGTACTTGTCGGTTGGGGGGCGCGTACGATGGTTGGGGGGTTACGGTGGTGTGGGGGCGCACGGTGGTTGGGGCGGCGGTACGGTTGGTTGGTGGGTGGGGGGCGGGCGCTACGATGGTTGGGGCGGCGATACGCGTGGTTGGGGGGGGGGCGTACGCGTGTTGGGGGGCGCGTACGGTGCGTTGGGGGGCGTACGGTGCGTTGGGGGTGTTACGGTGGTCTGGTGACGTGTATGTGGTTGGGGTAATGTACTTGGTTGATAGTGGCTGCCATACTGTGGTTTTGAGAGGGTGCTATACTGTTGGTTTGAGAAGGGTGCCGAGGAATCCCTATTTCTATTTTGATTATGTTGTTTTTTTTTTTTTTTTTTTTTTTTGTTTTTTTTCTATGGTTTGGGGTGGTGTACGGCGTGTTGAGGAAGGAGCCGTACTGTGGTTGGGGTCGCGGTACAGTGGATTGGGGGGGGCGGTACCGAGGTGGGCGTGCCGTTACGTGGTGCGGTGGGGGAGAGGTCGTATTGAGGTTAGGGGATCCCCTCACTGTTGGGTGGGTGTGGTAGCTGTGTGTGCATGCTGGGACTGGGTATTGCTGTGTGGTAGCGGGGGGCGAGCATGCCTATGTGCGTGTGTATGTGTGTAGGGGAAGAGCGGCATTGCCTTGTTATGCGTCTTATGCTTCCGCTTTGTGCGTGTTTGCCCGCTGTGTTGAGAATATGTGCGTGGGCGAGTATACGCAGAGGCAAAAACACGCAAGACTTCGCGGAGAGATTCTTCTTGTAGACGTTACAGCCGTGCTGCACGAATGCTGAGCACATGTTAATGAGGACTAGCAACGCGGTTGAGTGGAAAGAGAATCTGGCTGAGAATATTATGAGGCTGCAAGGAAGAGCGAGAAGCGAGGCGGGCGTGCGAGTGTGCTCTTAATACCGACCGACTCTGTCTCCTCTCTCGCCTTTTATCAATTTCTCTTTCTGTGGTTGTTCTACCGCCTTTCACTCTCTATATCTGTCCCATCTCCCAACTTTCTTTCTTACTCTCGTCTTCTCCCTGCTCTTTATCTTCTCTCTCCATCTCTCTCTCTCTCTTCGCGTTCTCTCTCTCTCTCCTCCTCTCTCTCTCTCTCTTACTCTCTCTCTCTCTCTCTGGCTCTCTCTCCTCTCTCTCTTCTCTCTCTCTCTCTTCTCTCTCTCTCTCTCTTCTTCTCTTCCTCTCTCTCTCTCTCGCTCTTCTCTCTGCTCTCTCTCTCTCTCTCCATCTCTCTCGCTCTCTACTTCTCTCGCTTTCTCTCTCTCTCTCTCTCGCTCTCTCTCTCTCTCTCTCTCTCTCTCTCTTCGCTCTCTCTCTCTCTCGCTCTCTCTCTCTCTCTCTCATCTCATCTCTCTCTGCTCTCCACACTCGCATCACTTCTCTCTCTCTCTCTCTCTCTCTCTCTCTCTCTCTCTCTCTCTCTCTCTCTCTCTCTCTCTCTCTCTCTCTCACCCACCCACTCTCTATGTCTTTCTCTGTGTCTGTCTCCCTCTTCTTCTCACGTTAACTTAGTCACGTTGTTCCCCCGTGAACTTAGTCACGTTGTTCCCCCGTGAACTTAGTCACGTGGTTCCCCCGTGAACTGAGTCACGTGATCTCCCGCAAACTGAATCACGTGATTCACCCGTGAACTGACTGACGTGATACCCTCGTATGTTCCCCTGGATGTTGTACATGTGTGATAGTTTGCTCATTGCTTGCCCGCTGCCAGAACTGCTTTCGTTCATGATGGTGTTCGACAGCGCAAAAACATTGTTAGACTTGTTTGCTCGCGAGGTTTTTGTCTCATTAATTTGATCTGTCATTCTCTTTCTTGCTCTCTTTTACTCTATCTCTCTGTCTTTCGCACACTCCCTCTCTCTCTCTCTTTCTCTCTCTCTCTTTCTCTCTCTCTCTCTCTCTCTCTCTTTCTCTCTATCTCTCTCGATCTCTTTCTTTCTCTCTATCTCTCTCGATCTCTATCTTCCTCTCTTTCTCTTGCTTTTTCTCTCTTTCTCTCTCTCACTCTCTCGATCTCTCTATCTCTCTCTCGATCTCTCTCTTCCTCTTTTTCTCTTGCGTTCTCTCTCTCTCTCTCTCTCTCTCTCGCTCCCTCTTTCTCATTCCCAATCGTTTTCTCTCGCCTACTATCTCACACTATCTCACTCTCTCCATAACTTATTTCCTCCTCTTCGCCTGTATGTCTGTCTCTCTGTTGTTTCTCTATGTCTCACTCTCCTCCTCCCGCCCCTCTTTGCAACTGCAGCGTGTTTGCACTCGCCTCATCTCTCGCTGCGTCTCTGCAGGGGCCCGTCTTCCTGCTCTTCCTCGACTGCGTGTGGCAGCTGACGCAGCAGTTTCCGGCGGCGTTCGAGTTCACCGAGACCTACCTGACGACGCTGTGGGACAGCACGCACCTCGGCCTCTTCGAGACGTTCCTCTTCGACTCGGAGGCGGACCGCCAGAGGGCGCTGCGCGAGCAGCAGGTCAAGCTGATGTGCGTCTGGGACTGGCCGCGGCAGTTCGGCCGCGAGGACCTGTCGCTGTTCCGAAACCCGCTCTACGTCGCGCGCCGCGAGATGGAGGTCGCGGCCGCCGCCGGCGGGACCCGGCAGGCGGCGCCGGCGGGCGGGCTCGACGCGTCAGCGTCGGCGGCGAGCGTGCGGCTCTGGCGGCAGTGCTACCTGCGCTGGGTGCCGCTCGCGAACATCGTCGGCGGTGGCGCCCCCTCGAGCTACCTCCAACAATGCATCCTCGCCGGCGAGGCGATTCATCTGCGCGACCAGCTCGACGTGCTCACCCAGGTGGCGCCGGTGGCACGGCGCCAAGACGCCGACCTCTTCTTCGGCTGCGCGCAGCAGCACGGCGATTCGTCGCCGGGCGCGGGATTCACGTCGGCGTTTCCCTTCAACTCGAGCGTCGCGATGAGCGTGAGCGGCATGTCGGACCGCCAGGTGGCGCTGTCTACGCCGCCGCTCAGCGCGTTCGTGAAGCACAGCTCGCTCGCGAACATCGAGCTGCTAGAGGACGACCTGCAGGACTGCGTCGCCGACATGAGACTGTGATGTCATCGCCCCGCCCACCGACCCGCCCACTGACCCCTTCAACTGCCCGTTCTTCTCCCACCAAATGGCCTGCCCACTTCTTGCCCGACCTGCCCACTGACCCCTTCAACTGCCTGTTCTTCTCCCACCAAATGGCCCGCCCACTGCCTGCCCGACCCGCCCACCGACCCCTTTAACTGCCCATTTTTCACCCATTCAATGGCCCACCCACTGCCTGCCTGACCCCCGCCTACCCAATCACCAACCCATCAGCCACTCGACTCTTCTACTAAGTGTGATGACCACTCTGGTGTCGGCTACAATGACTCCTTAGTTGTTACCCTTATTTACAGGTTACCTTTGGCTTCTTCCAGCCATAAAACTACTTGCTTCTTCCTGGGGTCGCTTCTGCCACCATCACCCTCCTGTTGCACGCAGGATCATGGGCCTTGTCACGTTGTGTGATGAATGAATGCATCGAAGTATAACTATTTTTTATGTGAATAGTTTTGTTCACAATGGTGTGTGCTGTTCGTGTGCGTGTGCAATGCAGTAGTGAGGCAGAAGAACTTTAGTGTGGGGATTTTTTGCTGTGAACCTTCTAGATGTGATCTTGATAGTGATGAGGATGCGAATGATTGTGTCGTTAATGTACAACGGGAATTAGCTAGTTTCTGTGTCTATATAAAGATGATATAACATGAAATAATATAATATAAATATTATAATATAAAGAGCGGCCAAGTACTACGTTAAATCCACATGTCTTTTATTACCTTTCTACATATAATCTGTATAATTGCACATTGGGGAAGCAATTTTCGATTTTTAGCAACAAATGTTATATTTTTGAATCATGTAGAATTACATCCAACTGTATATATTCCTGTTAAGAATTTTATACTGAGTACTGGAGACGTTATGCTGCACATTATTTATCGGGCACAAATTAGACTGGTACTAATTGGGCCATTGCTAATTAGACAACACCTAATTAGACTGGAACTAAATAGACCAGCTCTAATTAGACTGGGTAAAAATAGACCAGGTCTAATTAGACCAGCACCAATCAGTGGCACTAATTTGAACAGTACTAATTTGATGCGGTTAACTGTAATGAATACAGGATGTGGTCGTGATTGGCGTCCCTGTAGTTTTAATCGAATGTTCGTTGTGAATAGCTGTCGCGGGATTGCGACAGAGGTAGTCGGTGACACTGGGGTCGAGTTGGGCATTGCCTTGATCTTCTCCCGGTATGGCTTCCGATTCATCTAGTGTGTTTTGTACGGCAGCAGCCATAGCAACAGCAGCTGCAGCAGCAGCAGCAGTATCAGCATCAGCAGCTGTTAATCGTCATCCACTCACGTCACGGCGGTCGGTTGCAGTGATGCAGTGAAGCACTCTCACCCGCCACCTCTTCACTATAGCTGACCCCCGCGTTGTCTGCTGCTTGATGCCCCGTGCCTCACCAGCGATGGGAGCAATGTTGCAATGTGCCACCGGCTGCTTACGTCACGCGCATGCGCACGTTGCGCAACCGCCGCGACGCCAGTGTGAATTAAGAGCGTAATATAAATGCAAATTGGAATATTACTCATGCCGTGGTCTGCGTATGCGCAGTGGCCCGCGGCGGCTGCGGCTGTTGTTGCGCGAGTGTGAGGGAATGTTATAGAATGGAGCGCGCGTACGTGGCGAGATCGCGCCTTGCTGCGCGAGTGTGCCCGCAAAATAAAATACGTGGATTGAAATTATTAAACGTTTGTTGAGACGTGGTGTCTGTGTGTACGATGACTTCTCGTGAATCCTGTGCATCGCAATAGTGCGTGCGTGCGTGCGTGCGTGCGTGCGTGCGTGCGTGCGTGTGTCTTTTACGCACTCAAGCCGATTCGATCATCCATTTCATGCTACGTATTTTCCGGCATGCCCCCTGGCGTCAGAGATCTTAAAGAGTAGAGATCAATAAATGAAGCTCGCAGGTTAATACGCAGGCCGCCTGCGTTCAGAAAGAATGTATATTTCCGACGTGCTTAGCGTGGTATTTGGCTGTCACGGAACATGACATAACAGTCATAAACAGTATGCGCTGCTCTCGCGCACTCTCTCTCTCTCTCTCTCTCTCTCTTTCTCTCTCTCTCTCTCTCTCTTCTCTCTCTCTTCTTTCTC